ACTGAGTGGATGGACAAAAGAGGCACTGTGCCCACAGACTGGCAGGCCTGCTCAGGTGGGGTTAGGGCTGGGTGGTATGATTGAGTGGATGGACAAAGGAGGCACTGTGCCCACAGACTGGCAGGCCTGCTCAGGTGGGGTTAAGGCTGGGTGGTATGATGGAGTGGATGGACAAAGGGGGTACTGTGCCCATAGACTGACAGTCCTGCTCGGGTGGAGTTAGAGCTGGGTGGATGGACAGGGGTGGCACTGTGCCCACAGACTGACAGGCCTGCTCAGGCGGGGTGCAGGTGAATGGCTGGTGATGACTGTGCTTCAGCCATCCATGTATGTTTCAGGTGAATGCTCTGGAGTTCGGGAGCCTCCCCATGTTGTGGTGGGGTTTCCTCTGGGGTCACTGGTTTCCCCCCCATGGTCCAAAATCATGCTAAGGTTAATTGGAGTTTCCAAATTCCCCGAAAGCATGAATGGTGCGTGTGCCCTGCTATGGACTGGCACCTCATCCTGGGTTATTCGCATACAATTTTTATCAGTCCACCAGGTCCTAAATCCGAACCCAAGGTGATAATTATGAACTAATGTGATTGTGAAGTCCGTCTTAACTGTGGTCAGTCTGTCTGCATACAGATCTAACCATATGTTTCAATTAATTTGCACATGGGTATATATAACAACTTTTTATGTAGCATTTACATTGTCAAAACAGGAAGATGTGCGTAGATATGCAAATACTATACCACTTTATATAAGGAACTTAAGCATCCACGGATTTTGGTATCTGCAGGGGGTCCTGGAACCAATTCACGCAGATACTGTACCAAGGCATGACTGTACAAGCAAGAGGTTCGAAGAAATGCTCACTGTCCGATGGCTGATCCACTGCTTGTGGCAGTACTCCAAGTTCCCACCCAGTTCACACGTTAGCTGAGCTTTATCGATGTAGCCATGCAAATCCGAGACGGAATTCAGCATGATGATCTGGGAATCAAACAAGACCAGGAAAGGAATTTCTATCACGAACAAAGGCAGTGGGCAAACAACAACCGCTCTATATCACCTTAGTTAGAAAACCAAGGACAATGCGATCGTATGCTGAGCCCAAATGCTTATTTACTCAGTGTTTCTTGCTAAACATCAGGTGGTTTGTGAACACAGACCTAATCCTTCTGAATTTATTTGACCCTATTATGTAACATAATGTTGAACTAAATCACTGGGCAAATTCAACGCAACCTAAACTGTGGCATTACCTTCTTGGCAGTGACAATACACCCTGGCGTTTACATGGACACAAAAGCAGCTACCTACAGCTAATACGTGTATTATGTGTGTACTACAGTATATAATACATATTATAATAAAAAGATTAAACAACAAATTACCCTAAAAGTGAATAACACAGAGCAACATAAAGACCATAATGAAGATGAAATGTGTTGTTAACGATTTTGCGACACAACTGACAATGATAGATGAGCAATTGAAATCCAGTGCACTATGACATTTCATGTGAATGTAGATGCTATATGGGCACATGACCTCCTGCTGGGGTCATCTGTCCATCTGTTCATTTCCCAGAGTGACTTTTAGAAACCATAAGAGATGTTTTGATGCAGCACAGTCACGTGTGACCATACTACAAAACATGGTCTCTAAAAGTCACTCTGGGAAATGGGGTACAATAAACTTAACTCGGGATTATAATACATTTTTAGGTACATTTTCTACAAAGATAGAGGATGTTTCGCAGGAGACAGGATGTCTCGCAGACATTATGAGAGGAATGCCAAGCACGTGGATGTGAATGACAAATATGGGAAGTATGAGAACAGTCAAACGCATGCTTACCGGTACCTTCATTTTAAAGTCGTCACGATGCATCCTGATGCCGATGTCGGCTATCGCTCTCTGAATCAAGCGAGACGGCCGCAGCACCAAGACCAGCTGAAGGTTTCCTGGGAACGCCCCCTACAGGCAGCCACAGAAGAGCACAACAAAAAAAATCAACTGAAATCCAGCAACTGTTCTTGAACAAATACAGCCATGGAAAATATCTAGATTCCACTCTATATTTTTAACCAAATCTGCATTGTTAAATTCTGATTTAATCGTGGGTCTGCTGGCAGAAGGTTACGCTGAGCAGCAGGTCGCTTCCAGGTTCGAAATTTCTAAGACAACAGTACAAGAATGAGGTGAAGCAGGACACACTGAGAACAATCCAAAACCAGCCCGGTGAAGGGCGGAAATGACTTTTTTATGCCAGAGATGACCGTCAACTTCTCTGACAGCTTCCCATGAATCGTAGGATGACATCGAGTGACCTTCATAAGGAATGGAAAACATTAAGTGCAGGTGTGAAGAGCACTGCTAGGATGGTTTGTATCAGGCTCCTAGGAGCAGGACTGAAGTCCCATAAGGCAAGGAAGAAGCCCTTCATTAATGAGAAACAGGGAAGAACCAGGTCACAGTTTGCAAAAAAAAAGAAAAACATAATATTCACAGATGCACACCCATAAATTGAGTGAAACAAAAAAATGTGTTGTGGTCTCTTAATTTTTTCCGCGGCTGTATATTGAGAAGTTACATAGGAATTATTACACGAGTAAAAGTAATGCATTGTCAATTTTTTATTTCCTACCACTTAGTATATTAAATAAGCAAAATGTGATGGAATAAGCATTAACGACGTACCGCTATCCGGGTGAGCGAGGTTCTCACAGAGCTCCATTTGTCCCTGCGCCGGTCTATGATTATAATAAATCCAATGCTGGCTGCATCCAAACTGAGAGGAAAATAAACACGTATGATGGGTCTTTTTTTTTTCCAAACTATGCCTATGCATTTTATGCTACCGTTTATTCAGTGAAATAAAGAGAAAGTTTTTTTTTCAACCAACCAGTCAAATTTAAAGAGTGACATTCACATATTACTCAACTGGTTGGCTGAAACAAAATATTCGTCTGGATTTGTACTTTCTGGACCTGAACTTTCCATCTCTGCGCGCAGCATTCCCTTGAGGATATGCCAGTCCATTGCAGAGAATATTCTCACAAAGACATTGTTAAGTGCTTAAATGTTTTCACCTGCTGGGGTCACATGCACTTGCCTTACTGCAGCAACGTCGACATCCTGAGCCCATTGCCAACATTAAGCTCCATGCACTGGATTTCTTGGTAGCACTTTATCTAAGTGGCCAGAGCCCTGTTCTGTTCCCAGAAAAAATGTGATACTTCCAGCTAGTTGTCTGCTAAGAGATTCGGCAGGCTTTGGATAGTATAAGAATTACACAGTGACCGGGGCAGGAATAGGCTCAAGGAAAAGATCGATCTCTGTCAGTTAGAAGGCTGCACTCTGGCTGCTTTTATGCTCTGCCCTTCTCTTAGCTCCATGCCCGGATTCCTGCCAGAACGTTCCCAGCAAACCCACCATCCAATGTGCAGCAGATGGAGGGAGTGCCACTGTCAGAGCTGCCCCCTCCCATGGAGAGCCAAGGTGTTGCTGTCATTGTTATATTTTGTATACTATGCTGTACGTATCCATTCCTCTCTAACGTTACCTGGGAATGCTTGTCAGATATGTGACAACATTGAGGAAGTCTTCATCTGGAAGATCGCTGAAACCAGAATATTCCGGGAATGTGATTATCGGAGCTCCATCTTTTCCTCTTCCCCCTGCACGGTATGAATGAAAAAGACAAAAGACTTAGAATCTGTACTCACACGTACATAAAGATTTAGTCATTTATAAGGAAGCATTTATCCTGAAGACGTTTGCACAGTTACGAATAGTCTAGAACGTTTTGGAGGAAATAGAAAAAAAGCGACATCTTGAGTTCAGATAGAAATGTGCATCTTGCTGGAATACACGTTAATAAATACAGAAACGTTTTCATTATGCCTGATATACCACTAGCATTCAGCAATTGGTTTATTGTTTTAAATTACTTATATATATATATATATCAATACTATTGCGTGTACTCTAAGTCCTACGTGTAAGCACCAACACATGTGCACCCCCGCGTAACAGTATAAAAAGGCCCGTAGGTACGTCACACACAGCATCATCACGCCATATTTAACTTAGAGAGCAAATATTAAACATCACAGTCATTATTCCAGTGATGATTTGATCACATTTAGAATGCGGGAGATGCTGTAATTTATCACTATTCATTGCGTAGGGCTGTTCGTATGCAGGAGTGACAAATACCAATTCTGCTTACCGGCAATTCGTACACACTTATTTAGGACTTGTTCTACACACACTTTGATAAATGAAACCCCTTGTTCCGGAAAAAAAAAACCCAGCGTTTGTAAAGCGCCTATACACGTGGCTAATTTGCATAGCCAATTTAAGAATAATTTCCGGGTAGGAATGGGGCGGTTTCCACGATACGTGAGATTTATAAAACTGTATAAAGATGCATACATTAGTTTATACAAGCTTTTATAAATTTGACTGTAAGTGTTCCTACGAAAATTTATGTTTTCGTAAATATTTCCGCAAAGATGTGTGAACATTTTATAGGCTTAAATGAGCACCGTGATCTATACCTTCCCTTCTCAAATTTCAACTTAATGTTTGCATTCGTATAACCACATGATGGCGATATTGTTCAACACAAAACTTGATTCACGTTCTACATCTAAACCTAATACCGCAAAGCAAGACAACTAAATAGGGGGCGATTATCCTGCATACACTTTTGAAAGTGCACAATTAATGCCTGCATCTAAATAGCTAGCAAGCAAACATAAATACAGGCATGACGCTTTCATGCAAGACTCCCATAATCATGAGCCCAGATTGGGTACCTGGGGTTTGTAAAACACCACTATCTGCCTGATATCTGAGATGTAACGGATGAACACACTGCGGTACGCTGTCTCTGGTATTCTAACTCGCTCCCACGCAAAAGGCCAAATGCATGGGTAATCCTTATCATGTTGTTTCAGTGAGAGCCATACTGTCCACGATGATTTAATAATTCCAAAACCTTTATTTAACTACCAAGCAATATTTAATCTTTCACCGAAGACTGTCTGGCTCCATACTAATCCATCCATTGACTTCCGGTCGAGTACCAGTACCAAAAGATCCAATACCTTAATGAGGTGCTTATAGTAGCTACTGTTCCCTCTCCAGTGAAACCCAAAGCAGTGGGGTGTTATTCCCAGTTTCACGGACTCATTACAGCTTGTAGCTGGTTTTAGACATAGCTGATTTTAGACATAGGATTCAACAGTCTACATTGACTGTTGAATCCTAGGCCCTAATCGGATAGGGATCTTTTCGGGGTCACAACAGCAAAAAACCCACTCATGACAAGATCAATTGTGCATTTTAACTGTACAAGTTACACTTCAGTTTCTAAACTAATGCTGCTTTAATTCAGCAAAAAAGAAAAAAGCATTTATTCTGAATTTACAACAATTTGCATTTCAACCTTAGGCAAGAAAAAAAAATTGAAAATGACAGATAAGCAAAGAGCAAATTTTTCGTGAGTCATCCAAATCCTTTATTTATTTCTCTTTGACTTCTCTTAGTGTTCAGGCAGGACAAATGTTACAGTTACAACAATAATATGGTAATGAGCAAACTGTAGCTCAAAAATGTAATTCCAGAATTTTATGGTTTACAAATGTATCTAATGATTGAGTTTTGACTGCTAAGATGGTAGGATTATGGTTTCATGTAACCACACGTAAGCAAATGTGTCTCTTTGTTCCTACTTAGAATGATATACTAGCCACACAAAGCAGTCACAAAGATATGCATGCTGGTAGTGATTTGAAGCGTTGCTTACCTGACAACAAGGCAAACTCCCTTCTGAGCTGCTCAATGATGTCCTTTGCGAGCAGGGGTCTGATCTCCTGCTGCATTATTTCATCTGGGAGAGAGGAGACGAAAGGGGAAATGATTAAGTTACTGGGAGGTTGTAAAACCACAACAGGATAAGCCTGAGCACCACAGTCCAACACACATGAGTAGGGAAAGATGAACACTGGGGTTTGTGTGCATCTGGCCCTACAGAACTCTGTGAACCTGGATTCCTTTGGGTCTGCACTCCTTCTCACTAAGACGGGAACTATCAACCCGGCTCCAACGAGACTGAGCACAGATCATCAGGCTGCTACACCCAGTCATATCACCTCAGCCCCCACTGAATGAGACATGTTAGTGTAATTGACATACATATATGTAATATTAATGTAGCCTAATTGATACACATATTCAAGTTTGGTCACATTTGAATGGTGTCAGTGGGACTGGTACAATGGTCTTGGTCTTGTAACAGTTTATCATAATATTAAAAAGATATAGAAAGTTAGGGAAATCTTGCCTTGTCGGAAGACTCTGCCCCCTTGGTGAACAAAGAAATTTAACGACTCCCCCCATTAACATTCCAATTGATTGCCTGTTTGGGGACCTGGGCAACCAACAATCTTAATTAGTATAGATAATGATCACAACATTGTGCAGGATCATTTCATTTTAATTCAACAAACAGCATTTGCATTACAGAGGTCAGATATTTTTTTATATAATGAAATGAGGTAAAAATATACTTTAGATTGCCCTTGACCTTACAAAAAGAAGCTTAGCCTTACACAAAAGTTAAATTTGACCAGGCCCTTAGCCAGGAATAAATTCCATATGGTTCATAGGGCCGATAGGTGCTTCTCGGTAGAATTTGCCAGCCGTCACACTTATACACTTATACACTTATACAACCCATAACAAACAAGCTCAGTTAAAAGCAAGAAAAGCCTACAAGGACCTAAATTATTTGGTGATCATAACCAAAGGATTTTTGGAGGCAGATGTAATTAGGTTTTGTCTAAAAGGGTAAGTAACTTTTCAGGAGCACACAGGGGGGGCCTGCATGTATTCAGAGCCTTCAGCTGTCCAATTAGATTCCTTGTTAGGCCAGTGGGAGGTTCCCTGCATCTCCATACCTCAATACCAGATAGAAATATGCACTGAAAGATGACTTGTGTAACATGAAACCTCAGGGTTCCACTTTATAACTAACATTTTTCTTTGTGATTTCCAAATAATGCTGTAAATTTAACCGTGTTTCCCCCCCCCCCCCCTACTTACTAAACCGCATCATTCTTCACTCAGATAGACTAGACTGTAGACAGTGTGGCCTTGAACTAGACACAGGACACAGCTGCTCCTTTGTGTGGAAGATGGGCTTAACACATGATACACTATATCGAGAGTCCAGCTAAATAAAGGCACTAAAGTGAGGCAGGAAATCATAAGGACTCCATATGTCAGTCTTTAAGGCTTTTTTTTCAGAGTCGGGAAGAAATCATTGCGTTTCAAGTAACAAGTAAGTCTCAAGTCTTATCACTCAAGTTTCAAGTCAGGTCCCAAGTCAAAGCTCAAGTCAAGGAAGTCTAGTACCAAGTCAAGTCCCAAGTTAACAAACCAAAGTCCTAAGCTACAAGTCCTAAACAAGTCTGAATATAATTTATAAATATATTTTTTCTAATTTAATGCCACAACAAAGTTATATACTATACTGTATAGTATGAGTGTTACTTAAAAGTCTATGACTTCGTCCCACCTCTGGCTTTTGTGTATTACACTGCTCTGGGCAAACCTACAGCACATGTACATATAAAGAGCTACATTTCTATCTGGATATCATAAAGGTCTTCTTTGTAAATACAAATTGTGTTTTGCTGATGTACATTCACATCATCCAGTTGTTTATCCTGGGAGGGGCCACAGAGACCTGTAGCTTATCTAAGGAAGACCGGGGTGCAATCTGGATGCCAGTCCATCACAGGGCAGATTCAGACACCCACGTACAAACACACACACAATGTTCAATTCAGAGATGCCAATTAGCCTAACTGAATATCTTTGGCCTGAAGGAGGAAACCGGAGAACCCAGATGAAACCCACTCTACACCATGAGAATACGATCCACACGCACATAGCAGAGGCGTGATTCAGAGGCTCTGCCCCGGAGGGGTGAGGCAACAGTGCTACCCACTGAGCTGCCATGCTGCCCTCATCCCTAAGTGCTGCTGGCACATCTAGTCTATCTAGCATATCTATTGTGATGAATTATAGTTTGAATTTATCTATGTTATGCCAAGTATCCAGAAAGACACGTTTCTATGTCCCTCGTTACGTTTCATTTGCATGTGACCTTGTGCAAGTATATGCTAAGCTTTGCAAAAACCTGAAGTGAAACAACAACATAAACAAGGTATAAGCCCCTAGATTAGACGCAGGCAAAAAGTCCATATCTCTTACTACTGAGGGGATAATAATTTGGAGATTAATTGTCATCGTTGACACACCACAGCAACGAAATGTATTCTCTGCATTTAACCCATATGTGACATAGCAGGGGGCAGTTAATTCAGCACCCGGGGGGCAGTGCTTGGGGGCGGTACCTTGCTCAAGGTACCTCATCAGCGCATTGCTGATCAGGGATTCGAACCTGCAATCTTTCAATTACAAATGTGCGTCCCTAACCATTAAGCCACCACTGCTCACATTCAATTTGCTTCAGAGTTGCAGTAGGTATGAAAACCCCAAGCTAAAAGGAAGTTAGCAATAGCTGGCTAGGTTTCTCCAGCATACTGTCTGTGACTAAGCTGTGGAGAGACCTTTTCTTGGATATAATGGGCCTTTGGAGACCAGCCTAAAAGATCTCCCAGCAGCACACATGCAAATTCTGAACTATCAAGGGTCAGCAAGGGTCTTGCTCCAATGCAAAATTTTTTATTTGTTAGTCAAATGCTATATGTAAATACCAATTTTAAATGTGTTCTACTTAAAAAACTTTAATCAAATGTAGTAATCTCTTCTTCAGAATAATTGAACAGGGAGCAAAGGAAAGAAGAAGCTATTTTTGGTAGATTTTCAAGCAAAAAAATGTCATTGGCATTTCTGCTTACTGACATATAATTAATATAAATATTATTTAATAGTATAGACATACAGTATGTTAATGAAATTACCAGGGGGATATTCCATGAAAGTGGCTAAAGAAAGCCAAGCTTTCCCTTAATCCTGCTTCAGGGAATACCCAGGTACTTTATATAGTATGCAACAAAAACGTTTACAAATAATCCCTGACTGCAGTTAAATTGCAACACATTATTTATTATTTTAATGGGCATACATATGTTTCAGCTTTGTTATTTTACCATAAAATCATGGGGAAAATGTTGAGCTAGATTACACTGCAGTAAAACACTTCCCCTGCTCTAAATGAAATGGAGATGGATGGATGGATGGATGGATTCATCTTTTAGATTTAGAAAATTTTGAAGATCTGATTTTTAGCCAATTGCCTTTCATAAAAGGAAATATGACACAATATCAAATGAACAGCCATTATATGGTCCCTGTATTGCTTTGAGAGCCAATTAGCTGGAAATAGGCTAGACCTCTCTGCACCTGCCACCTGCTCCCTGAGGGAAAAAGCCCAGCATATGGGGGGGAGGGAGTGGCACATGGCTCCCTGCTAAATGGAAGAAACACTGAAATCCCCCACTTTCATCAAAAGCAGACTGGGATTGGCTTTAAATATTAAAAAATGTTTTACCGCGCCATCATGAAGTAGTGCATTACTGAGTCAATGATTTTAAAATGCATTCATCTATTTTGCATAAGCGCTCATCTGGAGTCTGGAGATGATCCCCGGAAGCAGAGAGCGTGAGGCAGCCGACACCCTGGAAGGGATGCCAGTCTGTCACAGTGCATGGAAAACATGGTACACGGCAAACATGGTACACATAATTTACAGGTACAGATCCACGTGTCTCTTGCCTGTGAGAGGAAGCCCACTTAAACACAAGAGGAGATCAAACTCCACACACAGAACCAGGAATCGAACCCATGGAGTTATCAGGCCGTAATGTCACCCAATAAACCATCAAACCAAAACTAAAATACCTCCAAGTATAATGAATGAAGTTTGAGTTAAAACTCGACTTACAAAAGGCCAAAACGTCTTGCCGGTACATAACAGATTTGTTCCAAAAAAAAGTGACAGGCCTGCAAAATGTGAAACTGATTACAACAAACTCCCCAAGGAGTCTAGATGGCTTCTGAGGCCCCTGGATGCTGTCCTGAAACTAGAGCAGCAACAAAGTGCCACACCACTGGAGAAATGCACTTCAGGGTACAGCCTGCTTGTTGGTGTGAGTCAAGAGAAATATCTTGCAAATCTAAACCCTGAAGTACTCTATTTTATTCTCTTTCGCCCAGAGTTCATTAGCCTTGAGTAAATTATTCAGGGAGGCCAAAACAGCAGTGACATGTGTCTAATGAAAATCATTACAGAAAACTGAACTGCAGTCAATCACTCTTTTGGAAATGACTAAGAAATCAAATAGCTGGCACAGAAAACATGGAAGTTAAAGGCTCCCCTGCTGGAGTTTGTCTTCTCCAGTAGGGCAGGGAGATTAATCAAAAATTAATCAAAACTGACATTCAGAACCTCTAATTGACGTAATCTTGTCCATGTCGGTTACTTCATTTTTTTTTTTTAATTCTGGTAATTCTTAAAAGAAATCTGTTAATACTTTTCCCAGTGTCTCTTCATGTAAAAACGACCCAACAAGATGCAGTAGTGAAACTACAATAAGCTATATTTTATGTACAGTACTGTGCTGTATTATAGCGTATATATTTATATTATGCACAGTTCAGTAGGTAATTTAATTTGAGCAGTACTGTAATTTGAAAAGTTTTTGAAATAGCTGTACTGAATTCTGTTTGCAAAAAATGCAAACTTTTTATTTTCTACTTTTTTTAGGGAACTTGCTTTTTACATTAAAACTAAAATGTGACCTTTTTTATAAGACATTTTAATTTCAAGCGGTTTGTGCTTTGATTTCAGTTAGAAAT